AAACTCTCAAGCACAACATTAAAGTCTTATAGCTGAATTGATCGATTTCGACTCTTTGATATAGTACCTTTAGGTACCTTTTTTATACACTTAATAGGTCGACGCTTGGCCACCATCTCGCCTGGCGGTAAGCTATGATGTGGCCGACGATTGAACACGCCTACCTATGAACAACCTCTATAGATTTACTCCAACATCACAAAATCGAATCACTGATTCACCAATCACTCTAAACTATCATGAAACACTACTACCTACATACACACAGCTATAACAAACAGACGGACAGACATAACGGCACAAAATCAATACTCTGCATTGAATATTACATACGTAATAACGTGCCAACAACCTACCGTTTACCTAGAAATAGAAAGAAATCAGTCTATCATATGAAATTCGACTTTAATACAGCTTTTGTAGGGCTTAAAATAGGTTACTTGTAAGATAGTTTCCTTGTTGACAATTAATAGATATAGAAAGAAGTCATTGTTTCACATGAAATCCGACTTTAATTTAGGTTTTGTAAAGTTTAAAATTGATTGTATGGATTAAATTGTCTCGTATGATATGTAGTAATTATGAAATCGACTTTAAAACAAAAAACTTTCGACATTCAGTCTATTGATTTTTTATATAAACGTACATAGTTTGGTCTGTATATGCTAATCGTTTACTTGGTAAATAAAACCTACCTACAAGCCATAAAGTCCTTTTTTGCCTGTTAGAGGGTCTGTCTACATTGAAAATTAGGGTCTTTAGCAACATTTAATAATAATAGAAGTTTAGGGGAGCCATGCTTCGGCACGAATGGTCCGGCTCCAGTGATACCACGGCCTCACAGAAAACCGACGTGAAACAACGCTTACGTTGTGATTCGTCGTGTGAGTGAGAAGGCCCAATTACCGCCCTCCCCAATCCCCGATTACCGAACAATCCTCACATTCCTAACGCCCAAAAGGCCAGCAACGCACTTGTAGGTACCGCATCTGGTGTCCATAGTCGGCGGCGGTTGCTTCATCAACAGCCTATTAATGCCCACTGCTGAGCAAAGCCTCTTCTCACATGGAGAAGGTTTGAGCATTAATCACCACGCTTGCTCAATGCGGGCTGGCGATTTTAAACTAATAATTAGAAATTATAAGCCGAGGTTTCCTCACGATGTTTGCCTTCACCGTTTGTCAGTCAGTAGTGTCAAAATAATCTTAGAAAGTACATATAACTCGGAAAAAGTCACATTGGTACTTTCCGTTGGTAGGTTTCGAGCCCGCACCCTCATGCATGAGAAGCGGGCGTCTTAACCTCCGGGCCACAACGACACCGGTTGCTTACCATCAGGTGAACCATCTCCTCATCGATCGGTTTATCCCATAAAAAGTAGAAACAGAATCAGAACAAAATCAGACAGTTATTCAAAAACAAAACACATCTACCTACCCACACACACATACGTAGTTCATTCTAATTATAAGCCCATACATATCATTCGCTTTTACCCAATACTGGCGGTCGTGGGCGTCACTATAATAACTATAAACTAACTAAGCTTTATAAAACCTTAGACGGCCTCTTAAATACATAAAACAGTCGGCTAAGTTCGATTAAACTCATGCCTAAAGAGTTCCGTAGCATCTGCGGCCTTAGTACGCGTTCGGCGCTGTGATTGGTTGGTTCATTGGCGCCGGCCAATCAGAGTGCCGAATGCGAACTCGTTTCGAATACTTTATACTGAAATCAAAGTCGTACTAAGGCCTCTGTATACATAATAAAAATGAATTTCCTTTCGTTTGTCTCGCTAAACCTCGAGAACGGATGAACCGATTTGGCTACTTTTAGTCTTGAAATGATACAAGCAAGTCCAGGGAAGATATGAAAGGTGAGAAATTTTTTGAGGCACTATGACGTGGGCACTCTTCATAGTGCCTTAAAAAAATTAATTATAAATAATAATTCAGCTACTTAGGGGCCGTTCAAATATTACGTAAGCAGATTTTTTACAATTATTTACCCCCCCCCCCATCCCCCTTGTCAGCAAAGATCTTACCCCCTCTCCCCCTTTGCTTACGTAAACATTTTCAATTATATCTTTTTTATATTGTAATTTTAATATTCTCTTAGATACTTACTATAACGTCAATGTCTTGTTCCTTGTCGGTCTTTGCTTGTAATTTATAATTTCAATATGAGGGTTGTCATTCGTGTAAAAAAGTAAATAACTAACGTAATATCATCATCTCCGTGCTACCACTGAGATTTTTTTTAAAAACCCAGTAATACTATGCGCGACCCGGGAATCAAACCCCTTGCCCGGCACTCGGGAAACGAAGCAGTCGGTCAATAACAACTTACGGCTTCCGTTTTTATATTTTGAAGACGGAACTCCAAAAGCATCAAAGATGATGTTTGATTTATTCCGAAATGTTATATTTGGATGACCTGTCTTCAACTGTCATACATGAATATGTGATTGTATGAAACACAGGTCGCTTAAGGACAAATGTCTAATGCCGGAATACTGAAACGTTACTCAATTTTAAGTCGTGCTCAAATATCGTGCCATCTCTGTCATTTTACAAAGAATTTGTAGAGATAGAACTATACTTAAGCACGACTCAAAATTGAGTAGCGTTTCAGTATTCCGACATAAGTGCTATAACTATTGAGATTTTTTTTAGAAAAAGAAACCTAGTTTCTGCCCTCGGCTTCGTACGCGCAATCCCGTTTTCTCCCGTTCCCGTAGGATTTTCAGGATTTTTTCTGTCTTAAGAACCTTCTCCTGACAATAATAAACACAACAAAAGAAATATCAGCCAAATCGGTCCAGCCGTTCTCAAGTTATGGCGTGACAACGGGAAACGGGTCTCATTTTTATATAATAACTAGCGGACCCAACAGACGTTGTCCTGCGTATCCACTTGAATGTATAAACAAAAATTCAGTCAAATTAGTTCAGCTGTTTAGGATGAATAACCTAAACATCGACTGCAGCGCCATGTGCCGGGCTGATTTGTGAATCTAAACCATTCCCAGATCCCCTTAAACACACACAAAAACTTCATCAAAATCGGTCCAGTCGTTTGAGAGAATTTCAGTGACATACACACTCACAGAAGAATTATATATATGTATAAAGATAAAGATTTATCTAGAGGTACAGCGTAACTATGTTCTACACTTTTGTCAATCAATTCAAAAACGGACTCCATCTTTTCTCCTGTCTTTACCTTTTAAATTTCTTAATAAAAAACTATAGTTTTAACAAGGTTCAAATTGTGAGCGACACCTCTACAATAGGGTGAAATTAGTTCAACGATAATAACGCAAAAAGTAGTGTTATATTTAAATACAATTTGTCACAATCGGTCCATCAGTTCAGCAGTTGCGACGTGCCAAACAAACTAAGACTTAATATGGATATGGACATTCTTTTATAGTTATTCCGACCTCTTAACGTCACAATCGTAAAACAAAAAGCCTTTATACGCACTGGCATTTCAATTATGAAGTCATATCCTCTTTATTCTAAGAATTAAAAAATCTACAGACCACGTCTATACTTGAAATGGAACTTAAAATGGAGGATATGAGTCATTTTAGTACCCAAAATAATCAACCAACTTTTTGTATGTTACTTATTAGGTAGATATTATAATTACAAATTATATAATCTGAGGCCTTAGTTAATACGAGTTTGTTTTATGTTTAAAGTGATCGAAACGAAACCTCGTCCGGCGCTCTGATTGGTTGCTTCATTGGCGCCGGCCAATCAGATTGCCGAATGCGTACTCATTACGATTACTTTACACTTAAAAGAAACTCGTACTAAGGCGTCTGTCTCCTGCTCTGCCTCGTTGGCCGAGTGGTCGCAAGTGTGACTTGCCGGGCAAGGAGTCCGGAAGAAGATTACTGGGGTTTTAAAAAAATGTCAGTAGTTGCACGGAGTCTAGAATAGTGCCTGGTATATGGCAATAGGCTCACCCCCTGTTACATAGGACTCATAACATAAATAGTGAAAAGTTGCTGTTACATTGTACAGTGGCATTAAGTGCCGTATTGTGCACCTCTGCCTACCCCTTCGGGGATAAAATGTTTAAATATGTTATTATATTTAATCTGTATTTCAAATACACCTGGGAGCAAAAAACCGGATCCACTAGCGTATTTTTTTCATTTTATCAAACTAATTCAAGTGTGGGAGAGCCATTCTTCGACACGATTGAGCCGGCTCGACCGGAGTGATACCACGGCCTCACGGAAACCGACTTGAAACAACGCTTGCGTTGTTTTTCGTCGTATGAGTGAGGTTACCAGAGGCCCAATTAAGAATACCTGAATCGCCAACGATCATTAAATTCCTAATCCCCAAAAGGCCGGTAACGCACTTGTAACACCCCTGGTGTTCCAGGTGTCCATGGGCGACGCCGATTGCTTACCATTAGGTGATCCGTCTGCTCGTTTACCGAGTAATGCCATGAAAAACCCTATATAACTTCAAAAAAATATTCCCTTTACAAATAAATGCTCTCTTTTTAAAGGCAATGTGGTTACATTGCTTTTTATCCGACATAATATGTTACCAATTAATAATATACTTGTATCAGTAAATATTTATAAACAAATGAAAAAGAAAAACGTTAGTGGCGCCATTCGTTTGTTCCAAAGTGTAGTATTATTAAAATCAAGACTGCCTCGTTGGTTCACTGGTCACAAGTGTGACTGCCGAGCAAATAGCATGGAGTTTGTAATTGTATAGAATGGACAGCTATAGAATCACCCCCTATTACACGGGGCTCGTGGCGTAACTGATCGAAAGTGCGTAAACTACCAGATTATAGACAGACGGGGACAAAAAATACGGTATGGGACCACCATGCGCCCGTCACTTACTAAGAAGTAGTTTTACAGGAAATAAAGGTAAGTACGTCAATGATAAATTAATAAAACCCGTAAAATTATTGTTCTTGTCGTCAAAAAGATATAAATTAATTATGTAGACTCACCTTTAGCGGCAGTTATCATTCAGATCCAGGGCCCCGCCTGTGTTCGCACTCCAACACTCATGTTTTGTTCACTAACACATATCACTACACTACACTACACTCACACACACATTAGCACATAATGCTCATCCAATTTCGATTCTGAAACAAAAAAAAAATTGAATTAGCACCGAATAACATCACTTAATCAAACGAAAACAGTATGCCAGTTCTAAAAAAAAAACAATTGCATTTCAAAAACCAATGTATAATACAAGTTCTAATTTCATAGGCATTAAAGTAAAATAGCCGCCATAACGTCGACAGATGACATTATTGACAGTTGCACGAATCAATCGCACAGATGATACAAAAAACCTGACATCAAAATTAAAATATTCCATTTAAAAAGCATTAAATGAATACAAGAACCGAACACAATAACTCACGGCCTAAAACACGGGTCCAGTGGACATAATACAAAAATTAAACGCACACAGAATCACCCTAATAAAATTACCTTCGCTACTATTCAGCGAAATTATTGTTCACAATGTCGACCACCCTATTGGGGCTTTCCTCCCCTTTATTCACCCTCTCTCTCACTCCTTTACTAAATAATACGTCTATCTCTTTCCAGCTGACTCTAGGATTTCGTTGGAAGTACAACACGTCAATTTCATGTTTAAATGTTGGGATGAGTGGGTACTGGGAAGGTTTTAAAACTGTTGCCTTAGCTCTTAGAAGTTTGGCTACAGAATTATTTTAGTGAAGGAGATTTGTTTCTATGCCTTCTTTTCCTAAAGGCAAGTAGATAAAGCCCTTGAAAAACCAAATACGTAGTAGAAATGTGGAGTATTAAATTCTAAATCTATTTTATTCTTTACTGGTGTTGCAGATATACTTAGGTCATGGTGATAGTTTATCATTAGGCAGGTCGTACGCGTTATGGCTACCAAAAACTAGTCCCTTAGTTAAATAATAAATAAATAGATAATACTTCTTTTTGCGAAATGATAATAAAACACTTTCGAAACAGATTAAAGTTTACTAGTCCGAGCTCGGTGTAAAATATATGAATCTACTACAATGCTTTTCAACCTTGTTTAATCTTTACACGTTAGGCTTATGCAGTAAAGTTCTGAAGAAAAAGACTAATTGTCAAGTCAATATTGATGTTGATCGTTCTTTTAGTTTTAAAGCTTTTACTTTGAGAGTTGGTGACGTGTCTTTTATTTTTTAAAATCTTTTCTTTGATTTACTATCTACAGACAATACTTTGACAGTCCACAGCTCATAACTGGCCAATATATGAAGGATTCGCCACAATCTTTGTACTTGATAGGGTTGGTTTGAACTGGAGATGCTGCGTTTCACAGTCACGCTTGCAACTACTCAACCACATTATCCTTTAAATATCAACGTTAATATGACCCATTAGAGTCAATAAAATCAGTTCCAGTCCTCCAGACATCTATTTTTGAATAACCAAGTTTGTACCGACTATATCCGAGGTCTCCGTATCGATCCTCAAACTCCCATCAACTGAGAGTAATTAAGGGTCCACGGTCAGAAGTTTACGTAAGAAAGCTGAAATCCGAGCAATCTTATGAAGTTTTAACGAATTTGGGTATAATAAGTACCCTACTGATAATGTCAAAAAGTATAAATTGCGTAATTTCATTATTTTAAGGTACTAGCGGCCCGCCCCTGCCTCACACGGAACTTAGTTTTGTACACAGCCAAGAATGTTTGACTGACTTCACTAACGTATTACCTATTTTATTTTTTCTTATATCAGTTGCCGCTCCAGCAATGATCGGGCATGAAGAAACAAATTAAAAAAATATACAACCAAAAACAAGAACACTATATTGCATTATTCTATACAAACAGCCTTAAAATCAATGTGCACCAACTCCCCAGGTACAAAAGTTCACAGATCAAACTCGAACGCAAATAAAAAGTTAGTCGTGAAATCTTTGTCTTTAGTATTGCAACGTCGTTAAACCATACTGCATACTGTCAGTTTACGTCTAGTGAGTTCAGTACAAAGTAAGCCTTCGTTTACCTGAGCTTTATTACCCGTATGGCTGCTCAGGTTTATAGTTATCTCCTTACCGATCAAGGTAAAACGTTTCTTTTAAGAGCTTTCGTAAATATTTTCAAATAGAAATATTGGACCCAGGATAGGTCCCTGTGGCACACTCGTGTCTTCTACGTTGTACTGTGTTTTTGTTTTAACTTAGAGTTAGGGTTTGTTTGAGAAAACTTATAGACGATTTCGTTTTATTGGTTAGTCTGTAGTAAATTAGTGTTCGTGGTATTTTTCTTTATGATCTGTAAGAGTTATTTATTTGAATGCATTCCTTAAGGCTTATATCTTAGTGGACTTATTAAAACGTTCAAAGTGTATGAGATATTATAGCCTTTTTTTAAAAAGAATGGCGTTTATTATTATTATAAACAACAGCCCTGTCCTTTAAGTCAGAACAAGTGAAAACACAACTCCAAAATACGTCTTCAACAGACAATTTGTTGTACAAAAACTGTAATAGGTAGTCCCCAGATATGCTATCTTACTTCTACAAACATTGCATTTACATGCACTCGCTTCCGGGAATATTTCACCCTTAGGGAAATATCCGGGTGACAGAAGACACCTACAAATAAATATGTAGGTAGTATAACTATGTAGGTAGGTATTGTAGCAGATTGTCTTGTCTAGGTGGCAAGGCATTTGCTAATAGATTAGTTAATATTTGAGTAAGGATGGTTAATTTGATTGGTTAATTAAGTGATGATGAGTTGTTGTATGCGACATATTAGTTATTCAGTGTGTAATTGTATTGTTAGATAGCATAATGTCCAACATGTCTTTTTAATCCTAAAAGCAGTAAGCAAGGATACTCCTGTATCCTTTAGATGGACATAATGTCACTTACAATTGATTGAAGCACAAAAATGTCAGTGGTCTATTTCTGTGTGTGTGTGTGTGTGTGTCAATGTGTGTATGTTCTGCGTGTAAGTCTATAGTAGTCAGATGCCACAGTCGTTGGTTCAAGGCATTGAGTCCGCCTTTTTGTCAACGTCCTTGGTTCCGTGTGTTAGTGGGTGAACATCTTGCCATATATTCCAAACACAATTCGAAACTTGGAGCTATTATTGAGATTTTTTTGTAAATTCCTATATGCCAAATACTAATGTCTACAATAATACTTTGCTTTTACTCTGGGATACGAGTGTCCGATCTCTTACACAACAGTCGCACTTACAACCACATCACTAGCAAGATTTACAACAGCAACAAATATTTGTACAACCAGTCAATAGTTTGTATTATCTGTATTATGTAAGTTGTTTACGTCGCTAAAACATTTCGACAGTTCTACCCGAAGTATTGATTTATTATTGTCATCCCTATTCTGCCTCTCGATACTGAATATAGGATAACTGTTTCCAAAATATCTGTCGTTGCTATAAGGTTTATAATCGTCTGATTGTTTAATTAAATTTAGTTTATTAATCTAGCAGTAAAGATCTTTATTTGCATTGATGTTTTATTCTAGGACTACTAAACTGATTCACATAATATTAGACGTACAGATAGATAGATAATGATGATGCTACATCATCATTATCTATCTATTGGCTGTCATCTGTGCTTTCAGCCTCGTGGTCAACAGAGAAAAACTAGCCTATATTTCTCTCCAGTCACCTAACTGTTCAGAACTTCAGACTCTAGGTTGCGATGTGAAAGAAAGACAAACACATTTAAAAATTAACAAAAATATTAAAGGTTTATAAGAAGATCACTCATCAAAATTAACCAGGCAACATCTATCTTTATTTAACATTTGCATCCATAAATTACATAGAAATAAAACACAATTTTCTTAACGCCATTCAGATGGTAACCGGACAATGATTGTGTACATAAATGTGACCATAAAATGAGTCGGCAGCGAAGGGGAGCTCCCCTATCACCCAGTAACCAGTGGTGCCAAATTATACCAAATGTTCTGATTCCTAATAATACAGCGTTTTATTAAGCAACCGATTTTTATAATTTTCGTGTTTCTCGTTTTTTTTTTATGTTTTTTGCGTAGTGATAGTGATTGAAACTTTTTGGTGTTTGACCCTATAGTCGGTTTATTTTTTCTTTTGTTTCAAGTCCATGCATTTTGTGGCTTTAGTTGTGTGAAATAAAAAACGTCATTGTTTTGATTCTATTCTATTCTCAAACTTCAAATAAGGTCGGTTAAATAGGTTTAATTGATTTTACGAGCTCTTATTTAATGACATAACAGCATTGTCGCAGTAATCTGCATAATCAAATGAATGAACTAACACCTAACAGACTAGACTTCACAACACAACACCAGTGGATTGATTTAAAAGACAATAACTATGGACCCCATCTCTATATCATATTAAACAACCTACCAAACAACTTAGAAAGCATAAACACAAAGGTTTTGAAACACATTCAAAAAACTATAAACCCTGTCCATAACCACGAAATGTTCTCAAACCAACTCTTTCATCGACCTAACTCCAATACTATCCCAGCATTAAATCGTTATTCAGCCTAAAAACTAAGAATTAACATGTAAAAAGAAAGGACTTAGCTACAGCGGTCCAGCCACACACACATACACAAAAACTACAACACACACGCAAAGATGTCTCCAACAAAATAAAACATCGGCCCTGTCATATAGTATTGATTCCGACCCTTCGATTGCCGTCCCTTTCGCACACCGGTCAGTAACGAAAGTGGGAAGAGGACAGGTGTAGATACTTTCTTCTTGGTGACTCGAGATGTAATGTTTACTTGTGTGCAGATTAATTCCCGGGTAACGCCCTGTCGGGTGATTGTATAGCTAGCTTTAGTCTGCGTTTTGATCGGTTCTAAGTAAAGCGGTATTTTGTTTAAATACTCTCTTTTATGGCTCTTATTTTGTATTAGGTTAATGGACGGTCTTAGGGCCAGTTTATATTGAAAATTAGCTTATCTTTATATTTATTAGGTTGTACATTTGTTGCATATTCTGACAAATTTTGGAGGGAATATAATTAGCAGCCGAAATTAATAACCATTTTGAATTAAAAATCTGTGAAATAAGGTCGATTTTTGACATTAGTTATATGGCGTTTCT